CAGGCGTTCTTCCTTTCCTCGTCATCGTCTTGCCTGGAAAAGGCCCGAATTTTCTTTTTTCTGTCTTTTCACCTCCGTGGCATTCTAATTACTTCTTTTACAAATATAGGGATGCCCTCCCTGGATTACTTGTATTCCTCTCCCTGGAGTACCAGGCTCGGGCACAGTCCTGCCCTTAGAGAAATTTCTCTTCTTTGCTGTTCAAGGGCTCCTTGCAGAGAGGAGGCAATGAACACAGCTCCCCATTTAAAACTATTTTGGCTAAGGCCTTCAGGGGATTCCCAGCATCTAAAACATTAACACTTGAGGTGATCTCTGCTGGGGTTAAATTCCTACACTGGACACCACAAGAATGTGTCAGAACAGGTTTCCTTTGCAAGGGGTATCAAACTAAAAATACCCACATTTGCACTCATCGCCAATTCTTATACCGGTGGAAGGGGCAAAAGTCTGTTCTTAGCGATTCATTTATATTTTAAAACATACCACGGTGTGAACCCTTTTCCCGAGAAATCCAGCATTTCCCCTCTTTTTAGTTTTACAAATCCACCAGATAATTTTACCGAGGGACTTAAGCCTGGCGTTAGTGTATTCATATTGTTTAAGTGAGTCAGAGGGATGTGATTTACCATGGAAGGTGCTGACTTTATATTGAGTTTGTACACAGAGCCCTACTTCATAACTGTTAGGCCATTGTCTGTTGCTTTAATGACTTTAGTTGACAGTTATTATCCTGTAGGATATTTCTCAGATATTACCTGAAATAGCTTAGAAATATTGTAGTTTGAAGTGTCAGAAAATATCAAGAGGTGAGCTTTAGAATAAGGCTGATGTACAATTGAATGCTAAAAATAGGCAAGACAGTAACACCATTTGGGCAGTAATCATCAGATAATTTTCCATGAAACAAATGCTTTATCAAAATTTGAGTTTAGCTTAGAGACTAGTGTAGAAGCAACCCAAGCACCCTTTTGCAGGGAATAGACCAAACTAATATGGGCTTAAGCTCTTAAAAATACATAATAGTTACATAAGAGATGTATGCTATCCTTGGCATTTTTTTCTCATTCAGCATAAAAAGTACTTAATGCTTTTTGTGTTTTTCAGATTCTCTGAAGTTACACCCATCACAGAATTTTCATAGAGCTGGACTATTGGAAGGTCAGCAAAATGCCATTTTACAGTATATTGTGTTAGTGTGCAAAGGCTTTCTCTGAGATGGAGTTGAAATGGAAAAGTGGGAAACTTTGCAGACTCACACAATGTAGTTTTTTTTGCTAAGGAGCCTGATCCTTCTTTTAGAGCAGCTAAATGTTTCAGTGGATTTCATTGTTGTGCTTGAAGTGCTTATAGCCCATTGTGTCTGCTTTGAGAGGCTTTGGGGAAATCCCTCACAATCATTTAAAATTATGTGTTGGGTGTTCTACTTTAGAATTTCAGCTTTTTTTTTTTGGTTGTTTTTTGTTTGTTTGTTTTTTTGTTTTTTTCTTGGTTTTTCGAGACAGTTTCTCTGTGGCTTCCTGGAACTAGCTCTTGTAGACCAGGCTGGTCTTGAACTCACAGAGATCTGCTGCCCTCTGCCTCCCGAATGCTGGGACTAAAGGCGTGCGCCACCACCGCCTGGCCAGTTATTTATTTATTTATTTATTTTTTTAACGCAAACTGAATTTGAAAAGGTTCAAACATAAAGATGATAAATTAATAAATACAGCAGTGACACCAAACAAACTTAGTTTGAAAATTCCAAATTGAAAACTTGGATGTTATGTGTTTCAGAATGATATATAATTTATTTACCAATTATTGATGTGACTTCTATATCATTATATTTAAGGATGAAAAAAGCTAAGTAATAGAGATGATTAAACTATGCTTAGAAAAAGAGGCCCATAGAATGTTCTGGAAAAGTTAATAGGCTATGTACCTTAAACAGATGACAATTCTTTTAAAAACTTTTTTTTATTTTTATTTTACACTTACCATCTTTGAATTTTAGAGTCTTGGTATTAGATAGCAAGGATATTAATTATTTCTCCGTTATTTAGAAATGAGAAACAAGCTGAAAGTAAGAGTCTTGGGGGAAAAGTTGAGCAGCAGCAGAAACAATCCCTTCTGTGTTGTAGTCAGTACTCCTTACCCAAAGCCAAGTGCCACCATGAAATAAATATATGTATCCAGTGACAATGCTTTATTATGTCTGTAGTACTTTATTATCTCTTTGAAAAGGACCTTGAATATTTTTGTCTGACTTGAATATAGCTTTTTCTTCCCATAGAGGAAGGTTGTCCTATAGATACAGTGGGGGAAGTGGGTGTTGTAATTGAGCTTAGGTTTAAATACCAGTTTAGCAACTTCTTCAGTTCTGTGACCTGGGGCAAGTGATTTTACTATTCTAAACTTTATTATTCCTTCTAGAAAAGTAGGTATCTCCTTAGGTATTAAAGTGTCTAGTTATAGTGTTTGGCTTTATTATTATTTTATTATTGGATAGTACTGGGGATTTATTTATTTGCTTACTATTGTTTTTTGAGACAAGTCTCACTATGTAGCTCTTTGATGTTCTGGGACAATTCTATATGGGTCATACTGGCCTGGAACTTAGATCTGCCTGCCTCTGCTTTGAGTGCTTTAAAGAGTGTGCCACAATGCCCAGAAGTACTGGGAATTTAACCTGGGACTTCAAGAATGGGAGGCAAATGTTCTCATTGAGCTATATGACCCTAGCAGGGAATATCCTAATCAGAGAGATTATCTATCAGGGAAAATGTGTTAATTATTTAAGGATGTATTTTATAAATTTTAAGGTTTTTCTTTTTTTTTGTTTGTTTTTTAAGATTATTTTTATGTGTATGGGTGTTTTGCTTTTGCCTGCCTGTATGTCCGTGTATCGTGTGTGCGTGTGTGTTGTGCTGACAGAGACCATAAAAGAGTGTTGGATCCCCAGAGACTGGAATTATAGAGCTGTCATGTATGTGCTGGGAATCAAACTTGGGTCCTCTCTAAGAGCAGCCAGTGCTCTTCTGAGTCTTCTCTCCAGTCCCCTAAAAGTTAGTTTTTAAACTTTAGCATCAGCTATATTGTTTTAACAGTATAATTTAGAGTATATAAAAGGTTCTCAAATATATTTTTTTCTTTTTTGAGATTAGGTATTACTATGTAGTCTTGGCTGGCCTGGAATTCACTATGTAAAGCAGGCTGCCTTTGAACTCAAGACATTGGCCTGCTGCTTGTTTTCAAATGAGAGATAGAAAGAAAAGATGTGGCTTGGCTAGGTGGATGGAGGGGAAACTGTGATCAGAACATATTTTATGAAAACAATTTTCAATAAAAAAGTTAAATCAAAAAAAAAAAAGATTGGCCTGCTTCTGCCTCCCGAGTTCTGGCTTATTAAAGACATATTCTATCATGCCTGGCTTTTTGTATTAATTTTTTGTTGGTCTTTTTGAGACAGGGTTTGTCTATGTATGCTTGGACTGCCCTGGAACTCTCTCCATAGACCAGGCTGGACTCAAACACAGGAGATCTACATGCCTCTACCTCTCAAGTACTGGAAGTAAAGTAAAGGTGTTCACCATGATTGTCTGGCTTTGTATTAATTTTTTAGAATACTCTGTTTTATTCTAAGAAGTATATATTCTAGTTCATTTCTTTTTTCTTTTTTCTTTTCTTTTATTTTTTATTTAATTTTTACAAATTGTAATTTCACATGTCAATCCTTTCTCCCTTTTCCCCCT